CACCCGGTCAAAATTCAAAATTTCCTACCAACGAAAAAGTATTAGGTGTGTCCCGCGCGCTCATATGACCTTATGCAGTTGCGAGCGCCGTAAAACCCTATACTAAACAAACAAACCTCTACTAAAACTTTAAAAAACTAACCCTTAGCCCTTGTGCCCCACATCTCCTTCATTATGGTCAAGGCGTTTTATATGACCAAAGTACATGTATTGTGCTTTTTTACTTTTCATTTTGTTTGCCGGAGATTTGTTTGTCTTGGGTGCAGAATTTTGACACATTTAGTCGTTTTTCTCTCCATCTAAAAGAAAATAGAACTATATATTAAACTTGTGGTATAGTAACAAGAAAATCCTTCAAATTAGCTGCTTAGAATTTAGCCATCTGCTTCATCAACAGTGAAGATAGACCATTCTATTTTCAAGGGCATAGCTGATCAAGTGTGTTAGTGTTTTACATGTATAGCCTATAAAATGGCAGCTTGCACTATAAAATCATGCTTCCTGTGAAAATGAGATTGTTTCAGTTGCTATCAGGTGTGCTGGGCTAGTAGATTTTAAAGCGCGTATAGCTTGCTGATGAGCAGGAATTGGCGCCATTCAAATGCTGCTTATTATTTGTATATTATTATTTTATTTATTTTTTAAAATTTATTTATTTATCTACTTATTTATCATTATTGCAATTATGATGATGATGATGATGATGATGATGATGATGATGATGATGATGATGATGATGATGATGATGATTATTGTCATCATCATCATCATCATTATCATTATAATTATCATGAACACTATCATTATCATTATTATCATCATCATCATCTTCATCTTTACGTATCATTCGTTGTCTAGGCACAAAAAGATCAAGCAGCAGCTGACTGAGCGCTTTGACCACGACTTCTACGGCATGACTCCCGACCACCCACCCGGCTCCACTCACCCAACCGTGAACGACGAGCTGCCCAACAGGATCGCAGCCGGGATGATCAAGGTCAAATCCAACGTCCGAAGCTTTTCTGAAAAGGGTGAGTAATAATGATATAATT